GCAGAAAAGGGCCTGGCAATTTCAAGGAAATGAAAGGACAAGAGTGTGGCTGAAGGTAGTAAGTGAGATGAAAGATGATAATGAAATGAGGACCTGGCATGGGCCAAAACATGCAGGCCTCATATATATGCCATGGAAAAGATTGTATTTTATTTTAAGGTCAGGGCAGCTATTAGCTCCACATGTTATTCTCCACACAACAGGGAAAGACATTACTAGATTTACATTCTATTTTTTATTTTTCAGTTTTTGATTAGAATGAAGTTGATGTACAATGTTATATTGGTTTCAGATGTTCAACATAGTTATTCAGTAATTAGATACATTACTAGATGCTTGCCACAGTAAGTGTAGATACTCCATTACCATACCAAGATATTACAATATTATTGCTTATATTCTCTATGTTGTAGTTCCATTCTTATGACTAATTTATTTTAAATATACAGTTTGTACCTCTTTATCCCCTCCATCTATTTCACTTATCCCCCCTCCCACCTCCCTACAATATCCAACAGTCTGTTGTCATTATTTATGAATCTATTTATTTATTATTATTTATTTTTTGTATGTTTTCAGGTTCTGCAAATAAGTGAAATTACATGGTATTTGTCTTTCTCTGCCTGGCTTATTTCACTTAGTATAATATCCTCTAGGTCCATCCATGTTGTTGCAAATGGCAAGATTTCCTTCTTTTTATGGCTGAGTAATATTCTATTGCATATATGTAGCACATCTTTTTTATCCATTATTCTATGGATGGGCACTTGGGTTGCTTCCATTATGATGGCTATTGCAAATAATGGTGCAATGAACCTATATAGATGTGCATATATCTTTTTCAAATTAGTGATTTTATTTTCTTTGGGAAAATTCCTAGAAGCAGACTTGCTGGGTTGTACAGTATTTCTATTTTTAGTTTTTTGAGGAACCTCCATATTGTTTTCCACAGTGGCTGGAACAATTTACGTTCCCACCAGCAGTGTAGGAGGGTTCCCTTTTCTCCACATCCTCACCAACACTTGTTATTTCTCATCCTTTGAATAGTAGCTGGATTTACATTTTAAAACATTGATTCCAGGGAACCTGGTATGGATTCTTCAACAAGACATGGTCATGGGGGAGAAAACTGGAGGTGAGGGAAGACTGGTCCAAATTAAATGAGATTTACAAGACACAATTACCAAATGCAATGCATGAAGCTTGATTATATCGTAGTTACAAAACACACTTTTGGGACAACTGGGGGAAAATTTTTGAATATGGACTAGATAGCAGATATATTAAAAATGTATTATTCTTTTTGATAGTGAATATCCTTGCTTTTTTAGGTATGTATACCAAAGTGTTCAGGGGTAAATTATGAGGTCTGAAATTTTCTCTAAAAACAGCAAAAGAAAAAAGATGAAGCAAATATGCCAAAATGATAGATACAGAAATACAGACAATGGAAATGGAGTATTCACTATGTTACTCATTATTTTCTTTGTTTGAATTTTTAAATAACAAAACACATTTTTTAAAAAGATGACTAGTTATTATGTGAGAAGAGAGAGAATCAAAAGTGGAAGAAATAGAGTAAGACGATAAACCAGGGTGTGGTGCTGTGGGTGGATAAAAAAACATATTTAAAATATATTTTGGAAGTAAAATGAATAGGGCTTAGAAATGGACTAGATGTGGGGTAAAGTGAAAAATGGAGACTGATTCCTTAATGCTTGTCTCGAGCAACTGGTGAATGACAGTGGCACTTAACGAGATGGGAAAGAACTGAAGGAGGGGCAGGGGCATCCTGAGAACTGAAAATTGAAGAACCCTATTTTGTTTATATTAAGTTACTACGTGAATGTTTTGAATTAAAGTCTAAATCTTCCACTAAACACAGTATGACCTGAAAAGCATTACCCTCTCTGGGTCCCCAGTTTTCTCATCTGGGCACTTTATCTGTTTCCTGATTTATAAGAGTCAATAACAGTATCATGGACTTACCATATGATTCAATGATCCCACTTCTGAGTATATAGCCAAAAGAATTCAGGGTGGATCCTGAAGAAGTATCTGCATACCCTTGTTCACTATGGCATTATTCATGATAATAAAGAGGTGGAAGCAACCCAAATGTCCATGACAGATGAATGAATAGAGAAAATGTGGTATATACATACAAGGGAACATTATTCAGTCTTTAAAAAGGGGATCCTAATAAAATCGAGAAGAATAAAACAACAGAAAGAATCAACGAAACCAGGAGCTTGTTCTTTGAGAAGATAAACAAAATAGATAAACCCTTAGCGAGACTTAGCAAGAAAAAAAGAAAGTCTACACACATTAACATAATCAGAAATGGGAAAGGAAAAATCACTATGGACACCTCAGAAATATAAAGGATTATTAGAGAATACTGTGAAAAATCATATGCTAACAGATTTGATAATCTAGAAGAAATGGACAACTTTGTAGAAAAATACAACCTTCCAAGACTGACCCAGGAAGAAACAGAAAATCTGAACAGACCAATTACCAGCAATAAAATTGTTGAACTGGTAATCAAAAAACTACCTGTGAACAAAACCCCTGGACCAGATTGGTTCACCAATGAATTTTATCAAACATTTAGTGAAGACCTAATAATACCCATCCTCCTTCCAAAAAATAAAAGAGGAAGGTATATTTCTAAACTCATTCTATGAGGCCAGCATCACTCTCATACAAAACCAGGGAAAGACACCACAAAAAAAGAAAATTACAGATCAATATCTTGATGAACACAAATGCAAAAATCTCAACAAAATATTAGCAAACTGAATTCAAAATGCATCAAAAAGACCATCCATCATGATCAGTAGAATTATTCCAGGGATGCAAGGATGGTACAATATTTAAAAATCCATTGACATCATACACCACTTCAACAGAAAGAAGAACAAAAATCACATGATAATCTCCATAGATGCTGAAAAAGCATTCAACAAAATTCAACATCCATTCATGATAAAAACTCTCAACAAAATGGGTATAGAGGGCAAGTACTTCAACATAATAAAGGCCATATATGATAAACCCACAGCCAACATCATACTTAACAGTGAAAAGTGGAAAGTGTGTCCTTTAAGATCAGGAACAAGACAAGGATGCCCACTCTACCCATTTTTATTCAACACAGTTCTGGAGGTCCTAACCAAGGCAATCAGACAACACAAAGAAATAAAAGGCATCCAGGTTTGTAAGGAAGAAGTTAAACTGTCACTGTTTGCAGATGACATGATACTGTACAAAAAAAACCCTACAGAATCCATCCCAAAACTACTAGAGCTAATAACTGAATTCAGCAAAGTTGCAGGATACAAAATTAATACACAGAAATCTGTTGCATTCCTATATACTAACAATTAACTAGCAGAAAGAGAAATTAGGAAAACAATGCCATTCACAATTGCATCCGAAAGAATAAAATACCTAGGAATAAACCTAACCAAGGAGGTGAAAGACCTATAACCTGAAAACTACAAGATACTCACGAAAGAAATTAAAGAAGACACCAATAAATGGAAATACATCCCATGCTCATGGATAGGAAGAATTAATATTGTCGAAATGGCCTAAATCCTGCCTAAAGCAATCTACAGATTCAGTGCAATTTCTATCAAAATACCAACAGCATTCTTCAACAAACTAGAACAAATAGTTCTAAAATTCATATGGAACCACAAAAGACACCGAATAGCCAAAGCAATCCTGACAAATAAGAAGAAAGCTGGGGGGATCACTCTGCCTCACTTCAAGCTCTGCTACAAAGCCCAAGTAATCTAGACAATTTGGTACTGGCAGAAGAATAGACACATAGATCAATATAAAAGACTAGAGGCCCCAGATATAAACCCATGCACATATGGTCAATTAATATATGATAAAGGAGCCATGGATATACAATGGGGAAATAACAACCTCTTCAACAACTGGTGTTGGCAAAACTGGACAGCTACATGTAAGAGAATGAAACTGGATTTAACTCCATACACAAAAGTAAACTCAAAATGGATCAAAGACCTGAATGTAAGTCATGAACCTATAAAACTCACAGAAGAAAACATAGGCAAAAACCTCTTGACTATAAACATGAGCACCTTTTTTCTGAATACATCTCCTCGGGCAAGGGAAACAAAAGCAAAAATGAACAAATAGGACTACATCAAACTAAAAAGTTTCTGTACAGCAAAGGACACCATCAGTAGAACAAAATGCACACGTGGTCAAAAAAGGCATCCTACAGTATGGGAGAATATATCTGTAAATGACAGATCCGACAAGGGGTTAACATCCAAAATATACAAAGAACTCACACGCCTCAACACCGAAAAAGCAAATAACCTGATTGAAAAATGGGTGGAGGATCTGAACAGACACTTCTCCAAAGAAGAAATTTGGATGGCCAACAGGCACATGTTCACATCACTAATTACCAGGGAAATGCAAATTGAAACCACAGTGAGATATCATCTCACACCAGTTAGGATGGTAACATCCAAAAGACAAGCAACAACAAATGCTGGCGAAGATGCGGAGAAAGGGGAACCCTCCTACACTGTTGGTGGGAATGTAAGTTAGTTCAACCATTGTGGAAAGCAATATGGAGGTTCCTCAAAAAACTAAAAATAGAAATACCATTTGACGAAGGAATTCTACTCCTAGGAATTTATCCAAGGAAAACAAGATCCCAGATTCAAAAAGACATATGCACCTCTATGTTTATTGCAGCACTATTTACAATAGCCAAGATATGGAAGCAACCTAAGTGTACATCAGTAGATGAATGGACAAAGATGTGGTACATATACACAATGGAATATTATTCAGCCATAAGAAACCAAATCCTACCATTTGCAGCAACATGGATGGAGCTAGAGGGTATTATTCTCAGTGAAATAAGCCAGGTGGAGAAAGACAAGTACCAAATGATGTCACCCATTTGTGGAGTATAAAAACAAAGCAAAACTGAATGAACAAAACAGCAGAAGACTCATAGACTCCAAGAAGGGACTAGTGGTTAGCAAAGGGGAGGGAAAGGGGATTGAGGGGCATTATGACTAGCACACATGGTGTGTGTGTGGAGGGGGTCACAGGGAAGACAATGGAGCAGAGAAGACAAGTAGTGACTCTGTGGTACCTTGCTACACTGATGGACAGTGACTGCGGTGGGGTGTGTGGGGGGGACTTGATAATATGGGTGAATGTAGTAACCACAAGATTGCTCATGTGAATCCTTCATAAGATTGTATATCAATGACACCTTAATAAAATATATATATAAATAAAGGGGAATCCTGTCACATGCTATGATATGGATAAACGTCAAGGACATTATACTAAATGAAATAAGCCAGTCATAAAAAGATAAATAGTTTATAATTCTATTCATATAAGCTGTCTTAAGTAGTCAAAATCAGAAACAGAAAAATGGCTGCCACGGGCTGGGGGAAGGGAAGAGGAATTAGGGTTTAATGGATACAGAATTCAGGTTTTGACAAATAAGTTCTAGGGATCAGCTGGCTATATAACAATGTGAACACAGTTAACACTACTGAACTGTACACTTAAAAATGTTTAAGATGGTAAATTTAAAGTTATGTGCTTGTGACCGTAAGAAAAAATGAAATTAAGCTAATTTTTTGCCTTTTGAGTGCCAGCAACTTTGCAGGATGCCGTTGTATAACAGTATCTCATCTCCACGGATGCTGAACATAAAGAGGAAAACAGGTCATTCAAGCTCTCCGGTTCACTTACCCTGCAGCAGGTATTCCATCATGTTAATGGTGCCTCCAGTGACAGGCATCATGGTGACTGGAGGTGCCTCCATGGTGACTGATAAGCCAAAAATAGAACTGGATTCTGAGTCTCCTATCAAGCAAAGCACAGAATACACCTGGAGAAGAGTAACACTTGTTAATAAATCCGAGACGGGGAGATATAACAGATCTGCTGTGCCACTGACCTGGACATCAAAAGATTCACTCATCCATTCAAAACCTTTTGAGTAACCACTATAGGCCAGTTTCTGGAACTGATGATATAGAAATACACAAGAGATCTGCTCATGGAGTCAGAGCATAACCTAATCTCAAGGTATGAATCCTCTAAACGTTTTCTGTGTCATCTTAAGGAAGTCACTCTGTTTATAAACCAACGATATTTAACCTCCAGGACTTTGTGGCTCAAATAACATAAAGGACATACATTAACATCCAGAACTGAAGGGTGACTTTAAGGGGACCTTGTCTACCCTTCAATTTATAGATAAGATTATTGAGACTCGGCGAGGGACCCAAGTCGGTGGCAGAGCCTGGACCAGACTAAAAACCGAGGCGTTCTTCGTCTCTGAAGACGCTTTTTAAAAGCGAGCCAGGAGGAAGCATGAAGTCATTTTAATATGGTTTAGATCTTCCTAAGCCAGCATCGGGGACACGTGCCCACTTACTGCAGAAACACACAGGTGCGCGCTCGAGCCTCTTCTCGCAAAGCGGAGAATTATATCCATCCGAGTACTTTGAAGCTTTTCAGTTATAATCCATCCTAGTAATAAAGTTAAAACTCCCTAAATAATGCAACGCGGCCTTCTCCTCTTCCCACTTCCGCAAAAAGCCGACTACGCGCAAAACTCGACACCGCCCCCCGCATAATAAGGGTGCCGAGAGGACATAAAATTGCCGTGTTTGGAGCGCGGCAATCAGAAACGCATGCGCAGGGGGCATGCGGCTCTACGGAAGATGGCGGCTTCCTCGGAGCGTTCCTCCGGGAGGTACCAGCGTCTTGACGTCATAGTCCAGCCCGTAGAAAAATATTTACTTTTTTCAAGTTCGACGACCTGGCGATGTTTTTGTCTAGGAAAACTCTTGGAACTGACAGGGGAGAAAGGAAGCCTGGGAAGGGAGTTGGAGAAAAAAAGGAGCGACCTTTATGAAACAGACTTCTTTTTGTTGGGTTACCTCAAGGTGAAAATAAAGGCACCTTTACTGTTTAGCATAATGTTTTGAGCAGTCAGGGAGTTTATCAATTATACTTAATATTTGTTAACTTCACTATGTATATTTTGCTTCAATTTAAAAATAGAGGAGATGAGTAAACTCAACGCGTGTGTATTGAACTCTGCTTATGTGTCATGTGTGTAAGATGTGGACAAAGTTAGGACTAGAGATGCGAAGGAGGCCCTCTCCTGAAGAAAACCTTAAGGGAACACCAAAACCTAAGTAACTAAGATAAATAATATTTCAATGCACTATTTTACGCATTTAATGCAAAAAAAATCCTAATAAACAGTATCAAAATTTTAAATTTGATCCTCACAGCAGCCCTATGAGCCAAGTACAGTATTACTGCAATTTTGCCGATGGGGACACAGGTGACACAGGAGATGTTTAATAAATATGCAAGGGAATGGAGAGGCTGTGCTACAAATCTAAGCCACTGACTTCAGAGCCCACCCTCTTAATTAGGACATTATACTGCCACATTTAGCTCTAGTTACCCCGGCTGTAATCCACACTACCATTCATTCATTCATTCGTCTTTTTTTTTTTTTTAACATTTCTTGAAAGTCTCTTGTGTTCTAGACATTCTATTGGCTGTTGGCTTGCTTCCATCTCTGCCCTCAAAAGAGTGTATAGCCAAATTGTGGGAATCATTTAAACTAAGAAGATAGTACCATGTGATTTGATTCAATGGGATAATGAGACATAAAGCTCAACTGCTTTGGAAGCAGGCAGGGACACTTGATCCATCTTGGGGGCAGCAGAGGATTCCTGGAAAAGGTAATTAGTGCCCCAAATAACTTGAAGGATCAATCATTGTTATCAGTAACATTGATAAGGGAGGGCGTACAGAGAATTTCAGGTAATGGGAACAACGTACAAAAGGACATTGAGTTAAATAGAATTAGGATATAGAATCTGAGGTTAGGGGATAAAAATTACTCTGGAGAAGGGTAAGGCACAGATCCTGGAGGAATTTGCATGTCATACTAAAGAACAGATGTGAGCTTTAAAAAATGTAACTGTTGCAATGTGGAGAAAAGCTTGGGAAAAGAGGACTTAGAGAAAGAAGTTTTGTTAGGAGATTTGGCACAACTCCAGCTGAGAAGTAACTGGGAGAAAAAGACAGATTTTAAAAATATGAAAGAGAGTAATTTGATAACTAATCAGAAGTAAAGACAGAAGGAGTCACAAATGTCTAGATGAGTTCATTCACAGATACGTTGAGCATGAGGTGTTTATGCAACACCCGAGCAGCAATTCCCAGCGAGGTTCAGAGGAGAGAGCTGGGCTGGAGGTAGAGATTTCAGAATCAGAGCTTCATAAATGGTAGCTGAAGACAGAGAAGACAAGTAATGACTCTGTGGCATCTTGCTATGCTGATGGACAGTGACTGCAGTGGGGGGGTGAGGACTTGATATGGATGAATGTTGAAACTACAATGTTGTTCACGTGAAACCCTCATAAGATTGTATATCAATGATATTTTAATAAGAAAAAAAAGGTCAGCAGTCTTTGAGCCTCATAAGAAAAAGTGGTAGTGAAGGCATAAGAACAAATGAGGTCACTGTGCAAGAGTGTGTAGAATAGGAAGAGAAGATGGCTAAGAACTGGACTTTGCCTAGGACTCTGACAGTTAGTAGAGCTACATATGCCCCAGGGCTTTGCATGTGCCTCCTGATCAGCTTTGTGACTCACAATATGTAGCACAGTGACAAGTTCCAAGTGCTGTATTGACTGGAGGAGGTTGTAAAATTGCTAGGTCTCTCTTTCTATACAGACACTAACCTCAGAATGGGAAATCTAGAGACTTACGAGTCCTTTGACGCACTATAGTAATTACCCAAATTCTAGTTGGCATTTTGGAATAGGCCTAAATTAAAAAAAAAAACTGGGTCAGGAAATGGGTGACCAACATGGTAAACCTTGCACAGGCCTCAGAATTATAGGGATGGGTTTCTGACACAGATGTGAAGCCTAGAACTTAATATGGGGCTTACTTCTGTCCTCTTCCACTACCCAGCTGTGCAACCTTGGGTAATTCACTTCCCTTCTCTGAGCCTCAGCTTCCTTTTTTGTGAACTAGAGATAAAAATAGTGCTTTCTAAGACAGAGTTTGCAAAATTAACATGAGATGTTTATGAAACACTTAGCATAGTGCCTGGCTTATTAACCAGCAATCAATAAGTGGTAGCTATTGTGATTTTTATATTTTATATCTCTCGCTTGAGCAAGCACATTCTGTGTTATTGAATATATTTTGTGCATATCTCATCTCCCTTGATACTATACACACTTTCAAGGGAGGAATCATGTATTTTTTTATGTATGTGTATCTTAATTAGCTTGGGCTGCTGCAAACCATACATATCAAACTGGGTGGCTTATAAACACTTAAATTTATTTTTCACAGTTCTGGAGGTTGGAAATATGAGATGAAGATGCCAGCATGGTCAGGTTCTGGGAGTGTCCTCTTCCAAGTTGCAGATTGCTGGCTTCTCTTTGTGTCCTCACATGGTGTAGAGGAGAGTAAAGCAAATTCTCTCAGGATTCTTATAAAGAGCACTAAATCCCATTCATGAAGTCACTTCCCTTGTGACCTTATCTAATCCTGATCACCTCCCAAAGACTCTACCTCTTAATACTATCACACTGGGGAATAGGGTTTCAACATATGAATTTAGGGGTGGCGGGTTGGAGGGGCAACATAAACATTCAGTTCATAGCAATTCTTTACATTTAGTAGGTGTTCAAAACTTTCATTGAACACATTATAATAGCTACCAATTATTGAACAGTTACTACACACCACCAACAAGTAAATATGCCAGTTACTGCTAAAAGGCAGATATTAACATCTCCATTGTATAGAGGAGGAAAAAGAGGTTCAGTGATATAAAATGACTTGCCCAAAGCCAAATGGCCAGCAAATGGCAGAACTTAGATCAATATTCAATTTGTTATGACACCAAGCCTGTTTCTCTATATGCTTCCTTCTAAATTCATGGGCTCTTTGTCCACAGATAATTTCACAATTATTACAATTATTACAATTAGTGGCAGCAAAGGAGAATAAAATTTCATATATTAATGCTTTCCAGCTAATTAGTAGACTGGGCTCAAAGGAGTAGGACCAGTTCTTCATCAGAGCAGCAGACCATCAACATGGATTGCTACACAATTCCCTCATCAGCTTCCTAAAATGTTCTAATGAGAATTAAAATAGTTCTATCCCCCTGTTACAGCAATGCAAGGCTCTCAATATTAGTGTTACCAACTTAATATTTCTCCAGGATTGAGCTGACGTTTACTGGCTTCTTCCTGTATGCATAGCCCTATGAAAATGGTACAACTTTTACTTTCAACCGAATTATTCCAGCATCCTTATCAGTTCATGTCATTCCTTCACTCAGAGTAAAAGCCAAAATCCTCATTATGTCTACATGATCTGCCCCCATCACCTTTCACCTCTCTGACCATATTCCAACCATCCCCACCTGTGCCTGGCCTACCCTATCTACTCAGTTCCAGCCACACTGTTCTCATTGCTCTTAATTGAACACGTCAAAAATGTTCCTATCTTAAGTCTTTTGCAAATGTTGTACAGTCTTTATGGAACTTGCCTTTTCCACTGAACTGCAGGATAGCTCCCTTGCTTCCCTCTGGTCTCTGCTCAAATCTCTGTTAGAGAGGTCTTCCCTGACCATCTGTTTCAAATAGCAATCCACTGTAAGCCTGCACTCCTCCCACACCATGGCCTGCTGTATATTTCTTCATGGCACATTTGACTACATGACACACCACCAACTTACTGACTTGTCTCTCTCCCCTCTCCCCATTAAAATTATAAGCTCCATGAAAGCTGGGGCAGAATCCCCAGCTCCTGGATGATACTTGGCACAGTGCTGGCGCTTGACAAAATACTGTTTTTGTTAAGAGAATGATTGGTAGAGAATAGAGGTTAGCAAAGGGGTTATTGAAAGATTTTCTTGGTCTCCTATATTTAGTCAGCACTGGATTCAGGCGGGGAACCTCAGGCCTTAAATTCCAGGCTGGAAATGCTGCACCTGTCCTCTAGGTGTGTGCTTCCAATGGCAGCCACAAGCCACATGGGGTTATTAACCACTTGAAATGTGGCTAGTTCAAATTGGGATATGCTGTAAGTGTAAGATACACACTGGATTTTCAAGACTTGTGAAGAAGAAAAGATGGGAAATATCTGAATTTTTTATTGGTTACATGCTGAAATTAAATTTTGGATACTTGGAGTTTAATAAATATATTATTAAATTTAATTTCACCTGTTTCTTGTTACTTTTTTTAATGCAGCTACTAGTATATTTAAAATTACATATGTGGCTCACATTATATTTCCATTGGATGACACTGCTATAGGATCTAGATTTGAAGGTGTGGCTTTAGACCCCCACAGATGTAGGTTTGAGTCCTGGCCACTGCTTATATGGCCCTAGGCAAGTTATCTAACTTCTTAGGCTTTTGGCAGTGCCTGGCACATGTTTGTTGTAGGTATGTAATGAATCAGAGTTATTAGTAGGAGATTGTTTAGGAACTGAGGAATGTTTAATTTGGAAAAGCCTTGAGAAGGGTGGAACATAACATCTGTCTTCAAGTATATAAAGCTAGACAAAGTCA